TCATATGAGTCGTTTGTCAAAGGTTGTCAAACTCTGCATTTAAAATACAGGTGGGTTTTACCGTATCTAAAATCTGCCCTAATAAAGTTAAATTTTATGAAAGATCTGTATTTCTAGGATAGTTTTTCAGGTAGATCCGTTCACTTTTGAGATGGGAATATGTGAATTTTTTAAAAACCTCCTCCACTTTTCTCTTTCGAACATGATTAATAGATAGTAGCCATTCAGTTCTATTCAGTTCTGTCGCTCAGTCGTGTCCGACTCCTTGTGACCCCATGAATCGCAGCACACCAGGCCTCCCTGTCCATCACCAATTCCCGGAATCCACCCAGACCCATGTCCATCGAGTCAGTGATGCCGTCCAACCATCTCATCCTCCATCGTCCCCTTCTCCTCCTGCCTTCAGTCTTTCTCAGCATCAGGGTTTTTTCCAGCTAGTCAGCTCTTCACATCAGGTGGCCAAAGTATTGGAGTTTCAGCTTCAACATCAGTCCTTCCGATGAACACCCAGGACTGATCTCCTTTAAAATGGACTGGTTGGATCTCCTTGCAGTCCATGGGACTCTCAAGAGTCTTCTCCAGCGTCACAGTTCAAAAGCAGTTCAATTCTTCGGCACTTAGCTTTCTTTATAGTTCAACTCTCACATCCATATGTGACCACTGGAAAAATATAGCCTTGACTAGACCTGACCTTATTTGACAAAGTAATGTTTCTGCTTTTTAATATGCTGTTTAGGTTGGTCATAACTTCCCTTCCAAGGAGTAAGCGTCTTTTAATTTCATGGCTGCAGTCACCATCCACAGTGATTTTGGAGCCCAGAAAAATAAAGTCAGCCACTGTTTCCACTGTTTCCCCATCTATTTGTCATGAAGTGATGGGACCAGATGCCATGATGGTAGTTTTCTGAATGTTGAGGTTTAAGCCAACTTTTTCACTCTCCTCTTTCACTTTCATCAAGAGGCTCTTTAGTTTTTCACTTTCTGCCATAAGGGTGGTGTCATCTGCATATCTGAGGTTATTGATATTTCTCCCGGAAATCTTGATTCCAGCTTGTGCTTCACCCAGCCCAGCGTTTCTCATGATGTACTCTGCATATAAGTTAAATAAGCAAGGTGACAATATACAGCCTTGACGTACTCCTTTTCCTATTTGGAAACAGTCTGTTGTTCCATGTCCAGTTCTAACTGTTGCTTCCTGACCTGCATACAGGTTTCTCAAGGGGCAGGTCATGTGGTCTGGTATGCCCGTCTCTTTCAGAATTTTGCACAGTTTATTGTGATCCACACAGTCAAAGGCTTTGGCATGGTCAATAAAACAGAAATAGATGTTTTTCTGGAAGTCTCTTGCTTTTTCGATGATCCAGCAGATGTTGGCAATTTGATCTCTGGTTCCTCTGCCTTTTCTAAAACTAGCTTTGACATCTGTAAGTTCATGGTTCATGTAATGCTGAAGCCTGGCTTGGAGAATTTTAAGCATTACTTTACTAGCGTGTGAGATTAGTGCAATTGTGCGGTAGTTTGAGCATTCTTTGGCATTGCCCTTCTTAGGGATTAGAATGAAAACTGACCTTTTCCAGTCCTGTGGCCACTGCTGAGTTTTCCAAATTTGCTGGCATATTGTGTGCAGCACTTTCACAGCATCGTCTTTCAGGATTTGAAATAGCTCAACTGGAATTCCATCACCTCCACTAGCTTTGTTTGTAGTGATGCTTCCTAAGGCCCACTTGACTTCACATTCCAGGATGTCTGGCTCTAGGTGAGTGATCACACCGTCTGTGTATTCTTGCCACCTCTTCTTAATATCTTCTGCTTCTGTTAGGTCCCTACCATTTCTGTCCTTTATTGAGTCCATCTTTGCATGAAATGTTCACTTGGTATCTCTAATTTTCTTGAAGAGATCTCTAGTCTTTAGGAAGCCATTCAATAGCCATTTAGGATGTTTCTTTCAAAAAGTACAAGATTTATTCAAGTTAAGTATTTTGAATGCTTATTTTCTTTTTTATTTTATTTATTTTTATTATTTTTTTATTCCCCCTCCCCTGAATGCTTATTTTCATAATACAGTTTTCAGAAAGTCTTTAATCTTTCGTATAGAGAATAATTTGTCAAAGTTGCATATTCAGTACAGTAGAATTTCCTTGTTTCCTCTTTAATTAAATTATGATTCTATATATGCTTATATACCTTTCTATTTTTAAATTGTTATATTTATCAAGTCTTTAATTTTAACCTTTTTTGGGTCATCTAGATGAGTAGTTCTTTAGGTTTTTAGATTTCATAGACTAATACAATTTTGAATTAATTTTGAGCAATGTCTTAATTTCGCAAAGTTAGGACATCAAGAGAAAAAAGCCACTGTTGTCTACAGTCTTCATTTTAACACCAAAAGAAGTAGAAAGAACATACTTTCCAGGTAAAATAGGCCCTCTTAAGAAAATCAAGACATATGTTGTTGATCTCTTTGTAATGGGCATTACATTTAAATGGGCATTTAAATATTAACGTTGTGTAATTTAATTTTCCAAATACTCCTACTACAATTTCTATATACTGTTATACTCATTTTACAGGAAAAGAATCTGAGGCTCAGTTATATCAGAGCAAGATGTCTGGTTTTGTAGCCCGTGCTTTTAACATAGCACAGAGACTTTCATAACACAGAACAACTGAGAACCTGAAATGGTTATGTATCTGCATACTTCTTGATAAAAAATTTGTCACCATTGGTCTTTATTTGATAGTGCAGTTCAGGTTCAAGTAGCTTGTGTAGGTATTCATTTTATTTCATACGTGGTTTTGCAGAGATTATGAACACCTCAGTTAAAGAAATAACCTTCTTAATAAACATTAAGACATTCATTTGTTTTGGATTATTCTGGGTAAACTGCTAAAAGCCTTTGCTCCTTAGGATGGTTTTATAGTCTTTTAACACTTCATGCTGGTTAAGAATGTACAAGGTTGTGGTATTGTTGTCTAGCCATCTAGGCTTACAGAGAGGGGAGGTGCAAAAAGGCACTTCATGCTTGACTTTCTATCCAGGAGGTGATAATTTAGCATTTAATTTAGTGACAGTATTTTCACTATAATCCTCATAAATCTGCATATACTCTGAAAATTTCTTGTCATCATCAAGTTGCTTACTTTTTTTTCTAGGAGTGGTAACACACTTTGAGATTTTTGTGATTAAAAAAATTACCTTTAAACTTTAGTTTGACTAATGCTCTTTTGACTTCCTAGCTGTGTACAAAAATTATTTAATCTCTGTTAAATCTCTTAATCTCTTCATCTGTTAAAGTTAATAAGATGTAATTTAATGTATTTTTATGTGTCAACTCCAGTGAGGCAGTGTAAATGAAAACAGCACGAAAACTAGAAATTAAGATCTTTTTAGGTAGCTGGAAGCCTGTCAGGGTTTTAGAACAGGATGGCGACATGACACAGACATTTAGGATGATAACATGGTAGACCTGAGTGGAAGTGGGGGGAGTGACACTAGAGGAAGGCAGAGTAGAAGTGGCCACAGTCATAGGGGTCATAGGTGAGGTGGCACTGCGAGTCGAGATGAAAGTGGAGTCAGTTATTTCGGAGGGGAAATCAGCGTGGCATGATAATTCATGAGGAAGGAGAAGGAACCTTTTGACTCCCAGAAATTAAGTACTTGATTTCCAATAAGTATTTGCTGATTATTTTCCACACACTGTCCTAGGCATTTGCTGTGTACAGGCACAGACCTGTGAGGACCGCTTGGAATTGATAGTATGGAAGGATGTTGCCTGCGTTCATGAACATAGAGAATTTGGGAGCAAGTGCTAGTTTTGGTATTAAGTCAACCTATTTTCCTATAAGAAAGTGGTGCTCTGTGCCATAGGAAAGGGTACAAAATATTGCCAAGACTTTTATGCAGTCCTCATGAAATTTGTTTATTTAGGGTCACAGACATATGATTGTCTTTTTAGTGTTTTAGAAGCTTTTTTAGCATTTAGAAAAATGGTAATCTCAGGTTTTCGGAAAAATTGTATTTTTTTTCTAATAGTGCTAAGTATGGTATTTAGAATTAAAAAAACAACACTATAATGAAACTTTGGCTTTTAGATAATTTGCATTCAGTCTTACATGGTGCTATTTCTGGGGGGAAAAAATACCTTCCTGAATCTTACGTACATAAATTTGACTACTTGTTACAGGCTTGTCAGTTCTAGTTACTGTAGCTTTAAATAAAGTTTGGCTATAAACTGGCATAATGGATTACAACAGTGGTTCTCAAACTTTAGGTTGCTTCAGAATCATCTAGACAGCTTGTAAAAACACAGATTGCTGGGATGTTTCTGATTCAGTAGGTCTGAAATGGGGCTAAAAATTTGCATTTCCAAAAGGTGATGATACTTATGTTAAGAGCTGCCTATTATATCATTAAAGAATAGGATTATCCTAAGGAAATCACAATTTAGCTTCTGAAAGTACTTTAAAAAGTGAATTGGCAAAAATTGTATAATGCCTGAAAAAGAAACTTATTTTCATAAACATGCATCTCCAATCCAAATCCTTGTAGGATGTGATAAACATGAAATTTTTATTACCATCTCTCCTAAAAGTTTTTATTCTGTTTAATTAGTAATAGGACAAACTAGAAAAGCATCTTTTAAGATACATTAAAGATAATATAAGTATTGTTTTCTATTCACAACAAATAGTTGACCATTTAGAGGTTTTTGGTACCTCAACATACATAATTCATTTATCCAGCACTTTTCCTTGAAGTTAAAAATCCAAGTTCAGTTAAAAAAAAAAAATACACCTGCAGTGAAAAATTTTTAAAAAACCCACTCATTGAAAAGTGGATGATTTTGTTTTCAGCTGTCTTCTACTCCTCCCATCAGCCCCGTAGTTCCTGAACTTCAAAACCTGAAACTCTTGGAAGGTCAAATGTGATAATATGGTTAATGTAGTATGTCAACCCAAATTAGTTTCAGTAATTAAAAAACAAATCTTGTATTTTTTAGCTAATGGGAATGACAACAAGAAATTTAAAGGAGATAGACCTCCCTGTTCGCCTTCCCGTGTTCTCCATCTTCGCAAAATTCCAAGTGATGTCACCGAAGCAGAGGTCATATCATTAGGTCTACCATTTGGCAAAGTAACTAATCTTTTGATGTTGAAAGGAAAAAGCCAGGTATGTAAGTTTTCAAGATTGACCCACAATTATCATCTCTGGGTGTTAGTGGAAAAAATAAAATAAAAATTATTTTAAGGGAATAACCTAGTAGTCCACTGGTTAGGACTCTGTGCTTTCACTTCCAAGGGTGCAGGTTCAATCCCTGCTGGGGGAACTAAGATCCTGCAAAGTGCAGCCAAAATTAAAAAAATGAACACTTTTTATTTCCTTGAACTTTTTTTCTAAATTTTATTCTATTTACATAGCTTTTAAAAATAGAACTTCTTTAATGATAGGAAGCAATAAACAAAAATATTATATAGGAAACAGGATTCTCTCTTATTTATTATCTTGACCAAACATATTTTACATTCTTAATTACAAAATGGTTTATGAAAATATCCTGTGATTATCAGAAGAGATTGGATTGTTTGCCATCCAAGATTGGATAATGATGTCTGATTCATACCCCTATCTTTAGTAAACTGTTTATTTAAGTTAACAGCCTTGTTTAAGGTAGTTGAGGTTATTAAGAACTGGAGAAGTTAAATAGTATGTCTTAGTATTCAGTCCTTGTTGTGTTTGTACATTTTTCTTACATCTTTTAGAGGTAGTGTAGGCACTTGGATCTTAATTTTCTTTACAGATGCCACTATTGAGAATAGTGTGGTTTGCACAGTTTGAAAAGAGCCAACATGATCATGTCTAATGGCTGTCTAATGTCTATAAGGCACATGTTACGTACATTATGTTTTGTGTAGTATATCCTATATTTTATGTCAAATAACTCTGAGAGGCAGCAGGCAATGTCACAATTTCCTTTGTTTTCTGCTGTTGGTTCTAGGTTTATATTTTTCTGTAGTGCTAACTTATTGCTGTTAATTGCTTGTCTTTTGACCCTAAGTCCTGTTCAGAAAATGCAGGAGATTCTGATGTGCGTCACTGTAGTAGTACTTGTAGGCATAGTCATTCCGTGGTTCTTGGGGGTGGAGTGTTTGAGGATAGAGTAAGGATTATTTTCACCAGCCTTTCTGTGGGTAGTGACTTTTGATTTTCTCTTCATCCTGCATTATGAAAGTTGATCCTTGACTGGATACTTTGGGGAAACATAAATAATTCTTTTACTGGACTCCATGTGGAAAATTTTATTTTTACATAAATTTTAGGTTGTATATATGTATAGGAATGATTTCCTGACTAGAATCACAATATCCAAAGACATTGTTCAGCCTTTCATTTGTGTGACATTGCAGGAGTCTCAACATTTAGTAGGGAATTTGCAGGAAGAGACTCTCCCCATATGGTGAATATTATTAGAATACAGTTTACAAATTCTTTGTTGAAAAGATGACTTTAAAAAACCAAATGATTATGAAATACTGCCATAGCTATTTTTGTTATCTTGATCATTTTTATCTACTTCTCTTAGAAATATTAGAAAAACTGTATTCTTATACAGTTGGATAGCAGCTTTAAAGTGTATCATGGACATTTGTACCTTTCAGATACTGTGAATGACTTAAAATCTGTTTTATTCCTCGTAGATAGTGATTTGGATCATGAGTTCTTCCTGTACTTTAAATTTGAAGTGTTATTATAGGTAGTTAGGGCTCAGAATTGTTAGTATATGTTTTGTCTTCTTGACCATTAAGACAGGGTGATGAAATCTGCCACCTTAAAGATCTGTAAGTATCCTGTTCCTGCCACATAAGTTAATGGGAGTCATGACAGTGAGAAGCCATAAACAGAGTAACACATGAATGCTAAGGAGCTTCTTCGGTCTCAGTTCTTTTTTTGTTGTTGCTAAACATTTATTTAATTGAGTTTTTTGTTTATTTAGTTAGTTTTGGTTGCACTGAGATCTCAGTTCTTTTTAGTCTTCAAATAGCTAATATCAGTATAAGTGTAAGTGTTAGTCACTCAGTCGTGCCCGACTCTTTGCGACCCCATGGACTGCAGCCCATCAGGCTCCTCTGTCCGTGACATTTTCCACACAGGGATACTGGAGTAGGTTGCCATTTCCTCCTCCAGGGGATTTTCCCAACCCAGGGATCGAACCCGGGTGTCCTGCACTGCAGGCAGATTCTTTTACCGACTGAGCTACAAGGGTATAGTGATTACCAGTAGCCAAAAAGGTCACTTGAATGACCCAAATCAAGTCGATATTGACTTAATATAGGATGCTCTCCCATTTCCCTAATTTGTACAGTTGAGCTTTGGCACATGAATGTTCTAATTATATTCATAAAAAGGCAAAGTAGAACAGATCATTGGAGAAAATTTTAGGAAGAAACTGAACGAATCTATTTATAGTAGTGATGCACACATTTATTTTTGCTTTTTTAGTTGTTTCTAAATTTTAGAAGAATCAGAAGTAAGAAGAAGACCAAAAACCACAGAGTCATATAATCAACTGTCAATTTCCCAATCCCAAATCTTTTATTGAACCCAACTTTTGTCAAATATGCTTTCAGTAACTATCAGTGATACAGTTTGAAATGTAAGTCTTTTCATCCCCTTTGGGGCAATATGACTTCTGTTAAGAATGCGTGAGTTTTAGAGCAAGCTAGAATGAGAAAATAGTTCTTAGCTGCCTTTCTAAAATGGGAGCTTTCACTTTACTTTCTTGTGTTTATTGCAGGCTTTCTTAGAAATGGCTTCTGAGGAAGCTGCTGTTACTATGGTGAATTATTACACTCCTGTTACTCCTCACCTTCGAAGCCAGCCTGTTTTTATTCAGTATTCCAATCACAGAGAACTTAAGACTGACAATCTGCCTAATCAAGCTGTAAGTATTAATGTCATTTATAAAAATAATTGTAAGAATACATGATAACTAATTTTCTGTTTTTAAGTGGAAAAAAAATCATGTGTTTTTCTTCATCATGAGATGCTCTGTTGATAAAGATTGCATATATAAATTCTTACCCAAAGACCCCAATAAGAAAGCACTGCCATTTGAAACTATGTTTGAGGATATGGCCTTAGAAATGGCAGGCAATCAGTTTTCCCTTGAAACTGTTTCCATAAGAGGGGGAAAAGTACATTGTTAATGTCTCTTAAAATCTCAGCTCTAAAGGAACTATGGAAGTCAATCCTTTCTTTTTACGGAATATGTAACAAAGGCATTGAGAAGTTGAGTGGTGATTATATTGTTATGTTAATAAGAATTTATATAAATATGTTCATTAAATGATTTTTGACTCTCCAAGATAAATGTGGAATATAAAACTGAACATTTCTTATCTCATTTTCCAGTTTTGATATAATTGATACTGAAACTTCTCTGTCTCTCCAGGTTGATTTTTTAAGTAGTTAAAGTAGGAATTTGAAGTAATTTAAGGGTAGGAAAAATTTATCCACAAAGGAAGTACATTTTAAAAAATAGGTTTTATATTATGTTGAGAGCATTGTTTGGCCCTGATAGCCTTGCTCTAGGCAAAAGAACTCCTTCAGCTCTTTGTTTCTGTGTTGAAAGTCATTATAATACAAGCTGCTGAATTTAAATTATAGTTTTCCACATTTTTAAAAACAATGACATTTCCTGCATCCAATCCTTAACTTATTCTAAGACGTATTAATGACATATAATAAATTACCTAAACTTGAGTAAATGAAATGTTAGATATTTTTAAATGTATAAAATTTTTAAAGTAAAACATTGCCTTGTAAGTAGGATATATGCTCATGGTAAAACATTCAGACAATCCAGAAAAATAAAAAAATAAAAGATAATCCAGTTACCTAGATATAACTGATAAACATTTTGCAAACATTTTACTGTGTACCCTTCTCTATTCAGGTTAGGTTTATGTATATAATTTTACACCAGTGGAATCCTAATGTTTTAAGAGCTATTATTTTTTCTCTACAGTAGGTCAGTGATGTCGTTTCATGACAAGAAATACACAATTACTTCATACTTTTTATTTTACTTTTTATTACTTCATCATTTTTAAATGACTGCATAATACTTGCTTCAAAACGGCATTCATAATTTACCCAGTTTCTTGTTAATAGACATTGAGATTGTTTGCAATGTTATGCTTTTACAAATAGTACTATAATAGCATTCTTATATATCTTGGCATACTTGCAGCATTATCTTATAGTTTATGTTTCTGGCAACAGAATTGCTGGTAGTTAGCCTATGTATGTTTTATGTTTTGATATATCTTGCAATATTGCTTTCTGTAAAGATTATTTGCTGATTTAGGATGCCACTGATAATATGTGATAATATAATGATAATATATGAGCAAGCGATTTTCCTGTCCATTTTTGTTAGTATGATAGTTAACAAATTATATCTTATTGTTTTACTTACTTTTATGTAATAACTTGTGAAGTATTTATAGTGATTTCTGTTAATGCAGTTTTCCTCCCCATTTTTTCAATTGTGATAAAATATGTATATAATATGAAATGTACCATTTTAATCATTTTTAAGTGTATGATTCAGTGGCATTCCCTGGTGGCTCAGACAGTAAAGAATTTGCCTGCAATGAAGGAGACTTGGTTCATTCTCTGGGTCGGGAAGATACGCTGGAGAAGCAAATGGCTACCCACTCCAGTAATCTTGCCAGGAGAATTCCATGGAGAGAGGAGCCTGGTGGGCTACAGTCTGTGGGGTTGCAGAGTCGGAAATGACTAAGCGAGTGAATAACCCTTCAGTGGCATTAAATACACTCACATTGCACAACCTATCACCACCATCCATCTCCAGGACTTTTTCCTCTTCCCAGACTAAAACTCTGTACCCATTAAATCCTGACTCCTCATTTCCCCCTGCCCCTACCCTGGCAGCTGCCATTCTGTTTTCTGTCTCTGAATTTTGTTTGCTAATTCATTTTTTAAATTATTTTTATGTAAGAGTCAAATTTCTTAAGTTGTATTATGATCTCTGACATGGGTACCATACTCATAAAAACCCAGTATAGCAAGATTAAAAAGTTTTTTTTTCTACCTATATTTTCTTAAACGTTAATGTTTTGGTTGTCTTCATTTTAGTGTTTAAATCTTTGTTAAGACTATTTTGTGGGTGGAGAGGGAGGCTAGGGTCTTCACTTAATCCCACTGACCAGTTTCTCTTTTGTTGTGGTTGAATAACCCATTTATTATCCACTCATGTAAAACTTGTCCTTTGTCATGTTCTACTTTTCTATACACAGGCTTTGCCTACTTAGAACTTGCATAAATATACTTGTCAGACATGACGTGACCACACATTTCGCTTGCATGACCTCCATCTACCCTTGTGTGTGCTGCCCACGTGGTATGCAGTCTTGTCTAATCTGGATTACCTTTTGGATTCTGTTCTGTTCCGTTCCTGTTCCAGTGTCCCTGTGGCTTAACTTACTGTAGGGCAAGGCTCAATTCTTTCCCCTGTCTTTTTAAAAATTAAATGGATAATAGGTTTTGTGTATTTCTCAGGATATATTAGAATTATTTTTATAACTCCTAATCCCCCCAAACACAGTGGAATTGGGTAGATTTTATAGATTAATATGGAGATAATTAACATGTCTATATTGCTAACTAATCCTTTTGAGGAGGAAGTTATATTTTATTTCCTATCTCTCAGTAGAATTTTCAGTTCTCCTTTGTATAAGTCATGCAGTTTTGTCATTAGTGTGATTCCTAATTATGTTAGTTTAAGTCTTGAAGAAGAAACAAACAATTTAATAAAACTCTTAAAGACTGGATTATTCTAAAGGGAAACGGTGAGAAATCCCAGTTGCTTGGCAACCAAAGCCAGCCCAAATGACCTAGTTTATTCTTATATAGCCTTGATTTCTTCCCAGTACCCTTGCCATTTTGTTACTTTTGTCCATTTTTTCTATTGACTTTTGATAAAATATGGTTTTCTTTTATTCAGAGTCCTATACAAAAGCTGAAGTCAAAATTGAAGATATCTGTTTACATATGTATTAATGAGAGGTACCAGGTGTTTTTTTATTCTGTCAGCCCTCGGAAGCTGATAAATTACTGTTTCATTCTCTTTTCTTCTCTGAAAAGCAAGATACCCCAAAACATACTTATGGACATACTTGGCAGAGGGTCAGGTGAATATCAACTATTTTCCTCCCTTGCTTTAAAATTAGAGCTAAAAATTTTAGATGGTATTTTGAGGTGCAGCATTTGAGAAATGGTTGTATTAATAGCATTCAGTTTTGTATAGACAGTTTTTCTTGGTCTTGTGGGTAAAAATTTATAAATTTGCAAAATTATGACCATGGAAAAATTTTTCCTTAAAAAATTTCCCCCCAAATCATCAAACTGAACATTTAAGGTCTGTGAATTTTGTTGTATATTCATTTCTATCTCAACTATAGAAATACCTTTTTTATATTTTCTAGGCATATTTAAATTTTACATGAAGTATATATATGTTCCCAACCTCAATAAGTATTTGTTGGTTTTTCCATCACAATACTGCTCTTTGCTTTACTACTAGTTAATGTAACCATTCCAGAGGGTTTGTGGCTGAAACACTGAAAAATTATCTCCCATAATAAGAATTCCGCTGCCTCATAATGTTTAACATCAGATACACAGAAAATATGTCTTTGGTGTACCTGAACTGTCTCTTCATATTAAGAAGACATTTCTTTTTTCTCCCCCTCACTTTTCTTTTGTCCTCAGTGAAGAGTGTCCCTCTACTTTTCATTTTCTTCTTTAAATACTTTTTCCTAATTAAAAATTGAAACTAGAGTTACTTATTAGACAAATCTTTCTCAGATTTTTATTAAAAGAATTTTTTTTTGCATGCCTGTTATGTGGAGACTTTTGTACTCAAGGCTCTGTGAAGTACTAATGCGGAGTATATTGACAACTGAAGAATGATTAAGACAATATATACCATAGCTTCTCATATTTCTCCAGTGTGATATCTTTTATGCCAAAGAGGAAGGAGTGAAGAAAGAGAAACAGCAACAAAAGCAGCAATAACCATAATGTAGCAGTAGGAAGCATATATATAGAATTGTTTAATAGAAAGAATTGATTGAGTAATTGGTAGATAAGGAAGTTGAGTCAGTGAGGCTGGGAATTCCCTGGCGGTTCAGTGCTTAGGACTCCACGCTTGGTACTAAGATCCCACAAGCCACACAGTGTGGGCCCCCCCCAAAAAAAGGTCAGTGAAGTTAAATTTACTTTCAGTTATTCAGGCCTAGTTTTGATAAGATGGTTAAATCTTGAAGAATGGTTCCTTTTTCTCTCATGCCATCCTGATGAGAGAAAAAGGAACCATTATTCCACTGAGAGCCTCACTGTGCTGATGTTTATTCCTGAACATTCTAAAGTTGTGAGTGACTGCTAGCTTGTTGTTTCATAGGTTTAGTATGGTAACTGCTTGCTTCTTGTTCTTTAGTCATTAAGTCGTGTCTGACTCTGTTGTGACCCTGTGGACTGGAGCCCACCAGGCTCCTCTGTCCATGGGATTCCCCAGGCGAGAATGCTGGAGTGGGCTGCCTTGCCCTCCTCCAGGGGATCTTCCCAGCCCAGGGATCGAACCCAAATCTCCTGCACTGGCAGGTGAATTCTTTACCACTGAGCCACCTGGGAAGCCCTCAGCTGCTAGCTAAATGTGAATAAATTTAAATAAATTAAAAATAAAAAATTCAGTTTCTCAGTTGCACTAGGTATGTTTCGATTGCTCACTAGCCACCAGTGACTAGTATCCAATCTACTGTAGATACCGAACATTTTCATTATCACAGGAAATTCTGTTGGACAATACTGTTTGTCTTCCATGTGTCTACTTAACCTTTCGTGTGTGTGTGCGCGCGCGAGCACTTGATACAGATGTAATAACTACTTTAATGTTCTTGTTTGCTAATTCTAATCCCTGTGTTAATTGAGTCTTTTTTGAATGACCTCTGAACCTCATCTTTGCCTATTTAAAGGCTTAAAGTGGGACTGTGAGCCAATTTTCAAATTTAAAAGCAGTACAACCCTGTTTTCCAAATAAAATCTTCCTGGGGCGCCCAGTATAAAATAGATAAACTGCTATGTGTGAAGCAGAATTGGGGTGCTCAGTACTTCACACACTTGACTTTACAGGCACATATATAATTAATGATATAAAATATTCAAATAATTCGTATGTTATTCTCAGAGATGATTTGGAAACTGGGCATTTTAAGTATTACTTGATACATAAAAGTCTTTATATGGTATAAAAATGTTGTTAAACGGTTTAAAAAAGAGTTGTATATAAGTACAAAAGTGGAAGTTGTTCAATTGTTAAACATACAGAAAAGACTGCCACTTTTCAGAAAGACATTTATTTTAATGTTATTTTTCATAACAAAATGTTAAAAAGCTACTCATCCCACTTTCGAAAGGTGGTATAATAGTAAACTAAAATTAAAGTCATGAAAACAAAATAAATGTTAATATAAAATAACAAAGTACTGAGAAACAATACTATTATCTTTAAAATTGCAAGTGAATACAAGATGTAGAAATGAAAGAATCTGCATTAAAGTCATGGGATTTTTTTTCATTTTGTGGCACAAACATTCGTTATCACTATTGTTAGGAAATTATAAGAACAAAAGATTGATTAAAAACTTGCATTTAATTTCACTAATTATTAACTTAATTATTAACCATACTTTTTTTCTCTTCAGTTCCCCCTTTTCACTCAAATAATTGTTTTAAATTTTGAGACAGTCACAAAATTTTTAAAGAGTCGTAAATATAATACAAAGAAGTTCTGATTACTTGAGGTGTTTGGGGAAAAACTGTTGATCTGGCCTGTCTTCATTGGCCAAACTTCCAGTGTGCATTCCCTTCAAAGAAGGGTACTCTTAAAAACCAGAATACACTGGTCAACATCAGGAAATTAACACTGATGTATTACTTCCCTCCAAGCCTCAGTCCCCATTCAAGTTTTGCCAGTTGTCCTAGTGATGTTTGTTCCAGCAGAATAAGCATTATTCAGAGTCGCATGTTCCATTTAGAAATCATATCTTCTAGTCTCCCTTTATCTGAAACAGTAAGTTATTTTTGTTTTTTTTTGGTTTTGTTTTTTTTTTTTTACTTTCATAACCTTGATACTTTTGAAAATTATGGACTACTCATCTTCTAGGCTGTCCCTCAATTTGAGTTTGTCTGATGTTTCCTTGTGATAAGATTCAGTGTATGCAGCTTTGACAGGAACATCACAGAAGTAATGCTCTTTTTTTTTCATTGCATCATATCAGGTGGCACATAATTTCAATTTGCTGCATTGCTGATGGTGTGCTCTTTGATCACTTGATTTGACAGGTGTTTGCCTGGTTTCTCCACTATAAAGTTATGACTTACAAAGGGGGAAAGAAGAGTATTTGAGGGGAGGTACTTTAAGGCAGTGTAAATAGACTGCTCCTTATCAATTGTCAATTTTTATCAGCCTGTGGACTTAACAGGCTTCCTGTTTTATTTGATGGGTTTTTATTTGTTACAGTCATTATTTTGGTTCTCAAATAATGCCAGCTGGAGCCTCTTTCAAGCTGTCTTCTGTGTCCTTTTGGCTTGCTTCTGTTGTTCTTTGAAAACTGTTTTGCATTCTGGTACAAAACAACAACAAGAAAACCTCACAAAACTGGAAATGTTGTACACTCATCTTGTGCTTTCCTGCTCCAGTTTTAGAACTAGACATTTTTTAGAGCACCCCGGTTCCTTTTAATAGAGCATCATATTTAGAAACTTTTCTGCCTTCCTTTTCTTGGGTTCTGACATCTCATGCCAGGCTGCCTCTCCGTTGAATTCTTGACTCCATTCAGGCTCCATGGACTGACCTTGCTACTCGAATTATCTTTACTGCTACCTATTCCCTGCGGCTGCTTCTGTTAGTTGCTGAGTTGTGTCCAACTCTTTTGTGACTCCACAGGCTGTAGCCCGCCAGACTCCTCTGTCCATGGGATTTCCCAGGCAAGAATACTGGAGTGGGCAGCTATTCTCTTCTCCAGAGGATCTTCCCGACCCAGGAATCGAACCTGCATCTCCTACATTGCAGGTGGACTCTTTACCGCTGAGCCACCAGGGAAGCCCCCAGTTCTTGGTGGCCCTCTTCTTGACTCTCCCTGGGCTCTGATAACCCTGGCTAGGCTGCTCCCCTCTGGATATCTTTCTTACCCTTCTTATGTTCCCCAGGTTCTGACAGCTGGCAGTTAGCCATCTACTCACAGATGACTTGCTTACCTTGTTTGGGCTCAGGTTCCACTTGCCAGGCAGATGGATGCTTTCCTCTTTTTGCTCAGGCTCTGGTGCTCCATGTCAGGATGCCCTCCCTGCCCCATTCTGAACCACCGCAGCTCCTCCATGTTTATGCCTGTCATATGCCACCAAGAGGGATTTGAGTGATTTTTTTTTTTAAGTGGTCTTTAATGTTACTTTCACATTGCTTTCTTCCCTTTTGTCATTAAAAAATCAGGATATGAAAGTTATATACAAGTTTTCTTCTTTTTTGGCTGTATATTTTTCATTTATTCAAGTAAATTTAAGCAACTTTCTTAAATATCATGTCACTGTGATAAGAAAACAAGACTTTTGATTCTTGACTGATTATAATATTAGGATATATGCATCCCAGAGAAAGTTTACCAGATATGTATATTTTTATTTAACTGTAGTGCTTCATATTAATTTGCACCAGCTAAGGATTATCTAGTGTGTCTGTATAACCACAAGTTCTCACTTTGGATTGTTCTGTAGAGAGCCCAAGCTGCGCTGCAGGCGGTCGGTGCAGTCCAGTCAGGAAGCCTGGCCCTTCCTGGAGCTCCTCCCAATGAAGGCACAGTCTTGCCGGGGCAGAGCCCTGTGCTCCGAATAATCATTGAGAACCTCTTTTATCCTGTTACCCTGGACGTTCTTCATCAGGTAAGGAGGAACACTCTTAAGAAAGCAGAGTCAAATATGACCTCTGTAACTTTTAATGTTTTCTATCTTTAGTTTTTCAGGTTGTGTGATTCTGGTTAATATATTTACTTAAATAATAAAAGTCTTCAGCATCCTGTTTCATGCAAGGAATAGTGTCAATTAGAGATAGTTTTTTTTGAAAGCCTCCTTTTTCTAACCTAAATACTTGATTTTAAAAGGTATGTAAGAATTCTGTGTTTTTATACCTAAGCATGAAAATGAACAAAGCATAGACTCCTATTAAAAAAAATTGGTACTAGTTATTCCTGAGAAAGTAACATCAATATAGAAAACAGCAAATGTATTTCTATAGACTCCTCCATATATTTGAGCACTTTTATTTTAAAAACTCTTAAAGGAAGATAATGAGTAACTTCACATGTAATATGGAAGTATCAAGTTAAGTACTGACTCTCAGCATAACTTTCATAGACTATCTATTACTGTGTCTAAACCATCTTGATAAGGGGCAGTGTATCACATCATGGCCTACTGTGAAGAGACGGAATTTAAGAATTACAAGATCTGTCACGTAGTTATTACATAATTGTAATGAATAAAACTAAACCTCCGATAATTGATGAGTTGAGTATTATAAGGAGTAATTGAAGAACCAGTTAGAATTCAAGCCTCCTGATGTCAGCTCCAGTATTCCATTTCATTATACTTAATAATCTATATATAAAAATTATTTTAAAACACTGAAACATATTATATGCTTATATTCTTATTTATATCTCAATATATATATAATATTAAACAGCATAACCCTAGGCCAATTTAGAATCATTTTAACTGTTTTCTAAACCTTTGGGTTTGTACTACTGAATGAAGAGTCACGGGGGGTTGTATGTGTGCGCTTATATCTAAGAATTGAAATGTATCCTCTCCTGTTCTCACATTTTACAACTAAGGGAACTGGGGACCTTAGAAGTTGCTGCTTTCCCCACAGTCACTGTGCCAGTTGGTGATAAGAGCTCAGATATGTTTCCTGGTACGGTTCATGTTGGCCTTCCCCGGTGGCTCAGACAGTGAGGACTCCATCAGCAGTGCGGGAGACCTGGGTTTGATTCCTGGGTTGGGAAGATCCCCTGGAGGAGGACATGGCAGCCCACTCCAATATTCTTGCCTGGAGAATCCCCCTTGCCAGAGGAGCCTGGTGGTCTACAGTCCATGAGGTCGCAAAGAGTTGGACACGATTGAACGACTAAGCACAGCACATGGTTCATATGCTGTGTGTGTAAATATCAAAATATATCATTTATTATGCCTACTCTATTCCCTGTGATAGTTTCCTGAGTACCATTTTCTAAATATGTGCGTTTGTGAAGCATGTCCTATGGAGGGCTTTAGCAGTGGTGTTCATAGCCACTGTTGTTTCCTAAAAGGGTTCAGCAGTTACTTAATTGGTTGGCTTCTTTGTCCTGATGGATTTTCGCCTCTTCTGTTTATCCCACCAAGTAGCATCAAGCTCTCTGTGATTCATCAGCATTTTTTGTTTGCTTTTGCTCCTGTAGTGCTGTCGCTGCTGCTAATAACTTCTGTTGCTTCACAAAAGATGTTACTGCACCTGTGGCTCAACATTGCCAGCAGTCAGCAGTGAACTTAGCCCAGGTTGTGTGGTCCTTTTTGTTATTCCATTTGTCATTTCCCTGAGACCAGTAACAAACCTTGTTTCTCTCCCTAAAGATCATGGGTCCTTCAAGTGAAGAGAAGTATTTCTGAGTCTTCAATGGTAACAATTGGAATAGGACTCTTCAGCCCTTTAGTTCTAGCACTCTCTTGTTTAATCCAGCTTCACACTGCTGTTGGAAAAAGCAAAATTCCTTACCAGGGCCCTTAGTGGCCCAATATACAGACCTCTCACTGTCTCTGTAACCTCACTTCCTGACTATTCTGCTTAGTTAGCACCCCAGCTTTTCTGGCTCTTTGACCCTCTTCTCTTACCCTTCTTATTTCTGTCTTAGTCCATTTCTGTCTTCTATTTTTTAGGTCTAGTCACTTAGCTGAATCTACATCATTCCATTTTCAGCTCAAATTCACCTCCTCAGAGTGTCTTTCTCTAATTACATTAACTAAGCCCTTAACCCCAGCACTCTATTCCACTAGCTGATTTAAGTATAGTATAGCATATAATAGGATACAGTTTCTGGAGCTGGTTCGAACCCTAACTCCACCACTTACTACCTTTATAACCTTGGGTAAGAAAGTTGCTGCTTCTATGTCTTTTTCTTATTTATATAATGGGGGTGAAGATGGTATCTATTCTATACCTTTGTTATGAGGATTTCGTGGGTTGATGCATTTGAAGCACTTACAGCAGTGCCTGTTACATAGTAAGTGCTCAGGAAATGTCACTGTACTTACTACATGCCAGTAAGAAACTAGCATTTGCTTTGTGAGAAACACATCCTTGCTCTTGTGGCCTTCTGGGTAAGATGTAAGTTATAGCATGAAATGTGATAAATATTGTGATTGGGAAATACATGGAAGAGTAGAGTTGGTTGCACATGTTATAATTAGCAAATTTTTCTGTATTTTCTGCTGAAGAGTTGACATTAGCTAAACTGCTCTCTAACATCTATGGAAGCTAATGTTTTTCCTTTAGCTCATGGTGGGGGAATTAAGAGTGACTGAGATGGGAATGGTGCTATTTCAGATGAGAGAAGTTTCAAATGATGGAAGTGTTTACAATATGATGACATTTGAGCAGAAGCTTGAAGAATGTAAGGGTGTTAAATTATGTGTATATGTGGTAGGATAATGATCCAGTCAGAAGGAACAGCAAGTGCAAAGTCCCTAAAATGAAAGTGTGCTTAATGTATTCAGATATCAAAAAAAGACTGTCATTGGATGTTAAAAAAAAAAAAAAAAAGGAAAGCTATGACTGATAGGCTCAGAGAAGGGGTTAAGACTTGATGATGCAGAGCCTTTATAATCTTGACCACTGCGTAAAATAGGAAGCCATGGAGGATTTTGAGTAGAGGAGTGAGATGACAGGCTGTGTTTTCACAGAATCACTCTTGTTGCTATGTTAAGAATGAACTATAGGCATAAGTGATGGAGAAAGAAACTGCAACCCACTCCAGTATTCTTGCCTGGAGAATTCCATGGACAGAGGAGCCTGGCGGGCTACAGTCCATGGAGTCGCAAAGAGTCAGACACAACTAAGTGACTGACTCACACACATAGGCATAAGTGAAGGATCTTAGCATAGTCCAGATGAGAGACAGTGGAGACCCATGTGGGGATGTGTGCACTGGAAGTGGTGATTACATATGTATTTGGAGAGATGTGCTGATGGGTTGAGTAGATGTGAGTTATGAAGAGAAAGAGAGTAACCATCAATGCTTTCCAGATTGTGGATGTGAACTTCTGGTAAAACAGAGCCATCTTATACTAGATAGTAAGGACATAGTGGGGGAAAGATATGGGGCAAGGGTGGGAGGTAGGGGAAGAATCAAGAGTATATTTTCAACTTCAATTGGAGATACCTGTTCAACATCCAGTGGGAGATGTTGAAGAAACATTTGGGAAATAAGTCTGTATTGAGCATAAGAATTAAAAACTGGAAAATTGGTGATCATTTGCGTATGATTGGCACTTAAGGCCACGGGATTGAATGGCATCACTTAGTATTTGTAGGTAAAGAAGGCATTCATCAACTGATCCGTTATGTAAACTCAACCTTGCATTCTAAAAAACTTCTTTGTCCACTAACAGAGTAAGGCAAAACAGTATTTTTTTGGAATTTAATACTTTGAAGTACCATCATGTGTGGTGTTAGTTATGTCCAACAGATGAATCTCTTCAGGATGAAAGACAGAAGTCCTTTTTGAATCGAAGTATAAAGATAAATAGCTTGCAAAAATCAATTATTATTGTATCAAATAAAAGAATCGATGCTAATAATATAAAATTCTAATTTTAAACATTACTTATCTCTTTTTGACTGCTGGGTCTTCATTGCTCTGCAGGCGTTTTTCTAGCTGTGGCAAGCAGGGGCTGCTGTCCAACTGCAGTGCATGGGCCTCTCATCGCAGTGGCTTCCCTTGTGGAGGGCGGGCTCTGGGGCTTGTGGGCTTCAGTAGTTGCGGCCCTTGGGCTCAGTAGTTGTGGCTGCCAGGCTGTAGGGCACAGCTTTAATAGTTGGGGCACACAGACTTAGCTGTCTGCAGCGTGTGGGTCTTCCTGGATCAGGGATGGAACCTGCGTCTCCTGTGTTGGCGGGCAGAGTCTTCACCACCCAGCCACTGGGGAAGCCCCCGGGTTCTCATTTTTCAGTCTCCTTTTTTGCTGCCCACAGAGACTGTTGTAAACTAATTGTGGCCAGTGTGCTTGCTATTTTAGAAATTTCCAGTATGAATAATGCTTTTTTCAAGTGACTACTAGTGAACATTTTCAGTTTCTGGCAAGTTCTCTTTATCACGCTTTATTAATCTTCATCACCCTGAAGATTAATGTTATCAGAATCTGATCTCTTGTATTTTATTAGTCCCATTTTAAAATCTGAAAAGATTAAAATGCACAAGACATATCAAGAGTTGATATGTGTGTGTTTGTAAAGTATATATATTAGGGAGTAGTCAAAGACCTTGTAATCAATAAAAATATATATTAAACGTTCTTAAACATTGATCTTTTGAGGCCAAATCTATTTAAAAATAAGTATTTTGATAATTATAAAAAGTTGTTAAAAACCACACTTGAGGCATTGCTGAATTCCCTGATACTGGTGTTTGCTTACTTTATTTAATAATATCAGATTGATCTTTGTAGCTCCTCAGTAAGTACAGTCCAGGGAGCTTTAGAGAGCATGGTTAGCCAGATGAGTACATTTATGTTCTGTTAGCACATTCATATGAAAATTAAACAGCCAAACACATCTGCCAGGGAGGATATACGTCAGGCTCTTGTTCAAATTAAATGAGAGAAAGGGATCTAAACATTAACAAAATCTGAAGATTAAGTGGAAATTAACTAGGTCCTATACCATAATACAGTATAAAAATCCCAAATTTTAGAGCAAACTATATGTTGTTGTTACTTCTTAACAAGATAGTTTACATAAAAAATGTTTATCATTTTAAAATTTGCATATTGCCATTATTCTTCAGTCAGGTCAGAGTATAATTTTTTTTATCAGTTAATAATAAACTTTTACCCTGTGCCTCTTACATGCCAGGAATTGTACTCAATGCTAAAGAAATGACCAAGACAAGCAATATACCTTCAAGGAACTTTCGGTCTAATTAAAGGAGACATATATAGACAAATGTATAATACAGTATAAGGAAAACAGCAAGACAAGTATTTGTATGAGGCCAGGAAGGGGATAAAAATATTTGGTAAAGAAAATGAACTCTATTGAGGTTTGGGTGAGGCTAGCTAAGAATTTTCTGGTGGCATTATTGCCTGAGCTGAGTTTTGAAAGAATAAATGAAAATTTCCTAGGTATTATGTAAAGAGATACAGGAACAGGGAAAAAGTCACATGTTTAGGCATAGAACTCTGAAACCGCTTGGTGTATCTGGAGAACCATTATAGTTGTTGATGTAAATAGTATAAAATAAAAAGTATAAATAAGTAGTGTAAAATAAAAAGTGTCAGGAAATGAGGTTGGAGAGGTACACCAGGGAGAGAGATTGTGTATGTTATACCAGAGAGCTTGGATTTTACTGTGTGGATAATGGGGAGATGGTGAGGAATTTTAAGCAGGGAAAAATGTAATCTGGCTTGTACTTTAGAACACTACTTGTGTCTGCAGTATGAAGGAGGGAAGTTAGGCAGTTAAATATATCTCCTTTTATATATATGTGTGTGTGTGTGTGTGTGTTTACACACACACATATACATTTTAAAGTTATTTATTTATTTATCTGACTGCGGCAGCCCTTAGTTGCGGCATGTGGGATATTTCATTGTGCTGCATGGTCCCAGTAGTTGCGGCACGCCGCCTCTCTAGTTGAGGCACATGGCTTAGTTGCTCCACAGCATATGGGATCTTATTAGTTTCCCGACCAGGGGAATGTAGGGCTCAAACCTTGCAGGGCAGATTGGTAAGCACTGGACCACCAGGGAAGTCCCTGGTATTATTTTATAAACTTTATTCTCTAGGATATGAGGGTGTATTGAGGAAGTGCTTATTATAAGACCAAACCTTTCATTAAAAGAGCAAAACAAAAATTTCCTAGTGTTTTTCAAAATAGAGTTATATGAGGGATTAAGGTCTTAATATCTTGAACCCTGAATTAGGACCATAATGAAATTAACTATATTTTTTTAAAACATCTTAAATTTCAATAGCCTTCAGACTACGTCTTTAAGAATGGAATTTTCTGGTAATCCCTTCCAAGACAAATTAGTTTCACGAGTCTTGTTGATCTCTTACAAGAATTGTTTGACTCTATTCAGTGGTATAAAGAATCTGCCTGCCAATATAGAAGACAGGTTTGATCCCAGGGTCGGATAGGTCCCCTGGAGAAGTAAATGGCAACCCACTCCAGGATTCTAGCCTGGGAAATCCCATGGACAGAGGAACCTGGCAGGCTAGAGTCCTTGGGGTTGTAAGAGTTAGACACAACTTAGTAACTAAACAACAAGGTTCCTCATAAAAGTGGAATCACTCATCATTTGCTGTTTTGAGATTGGCTTATTTCACATAACAGTGTCTTCAGGGTTCATCAGTATTGTAGTATGTGTGAGAATTTCCTTCCTTTTTAAAGCTGAATAATATTCCATTGTATGTATACACCACATTTTGTTTATTCACTCATCTGTGGATGGACACTTGAGTTGCCATTGAGCATCTTGTCATGTGCTTATTGCTATTTGATTGTCTTCTTTGGAGAAATGAAGTGAAAGTCGTTCAGTTGTGTCTGACTCTTTGCAACCCCATGGACTATCCATGGAATTTTCCAGGTCAGAATACTGGAGTGGGTAGCCTTTTCCTTCTCCAGGGGATCTTCCCAACCCAGGGATTGAACCCAGGTCTCCTGCGTTGCAGGAGGATTCTTAACCAACTGAGCTGTCAGGGAAGCCCTTTCTTTGAAGAAAGTTCTTTTCAAATCCTTTGCCTGTTTTTTAAATTGGGTTTTTGTTGTTGTTGACTTGTAGGAATTCTTTTCATGTTTCTGTATATTACCTCTTATCAGATAAATGATAATCGAATATTGCCTCTCATTTTGTGGGTTGCCTTTTCAATCCTCTTGATAGTCTTTTGGTGAACATGAGTTTTAATTTTGATGTAGTTGTATTTTTCTGTTTTTTCTTTTGTTGCCTATCCTCTAGGATAGTTATTCTTGATCATTCTTTCTGATAATAAAAAAGCTGGATATTTGCCTATTAAGGAAACATATACATGGTGTGTAATGACAGCAAATTCTTACCAGCATAGGGAATCCTTAGATTTAAGAAGCAGGACACGTTTCTGGCTTATTAAAATCCAGATGTAAAATGAGACGTCAGAGGAAAGCATAATGCATTGTAGGAACTTCTGTGCAGGGGAAGTAGAGCAAGTGTTGTAAGAGCATTGGTAACCAGGGGTCTGTCAGGAAACCTTCCCCTCGCTGTTCATTCCTCTTCTCCAAAGGCTCTTCAGAGAGGCCTTCCTTGAGTAGCCTTGCACCTTCCCAACTTGCATCACGCTCATCCCTTTTCCTTTTATCTTTAAAACAAAATACTTTTGTGTGACCAGGTATTGTTATTTATTTGCTTATTTATTGTCTTGTCTTTCCTCACAAGAGCATAGACTTCTTCCTTCCTTCCTTCCTTCCTTCCTTCCTTCTGATTTTCTAGGTGTTTTTTCCTGTTACTGGTTTCTTGTTTAAATCTATAATTGAGAATATACATTGTATGATTTTTATTATTTTAAATTTGTTTAAGTGTGCTTTATGGCTCAGAATATATCTATCTTGGTGTTCATGCATATTCTGCTGTTATTGGATATATTATTCTATAAATGTCAATTAGATCCAACCCCTGTCCCCTTTGGTATTCATACGTTTGTTCACAGTCTCAATGCAGACTTATTCATAAGTCTGTATTGGAGGGATATTATTAAAGTCTCCAACAACAATAGTGTTTTTGTAGTTCTAGCAGCTTTTTTTCTTTAGTATTTTGGTTCTTTTTTGTTACACACATATATTTTAAAGATTGTTCTGTCTTCTTGGATAAATGACTGCCATTATCTTATATAGCATCCCTCATTATCCCTGATAATTTTTCTTCAGAGGTCAGCTTTGTAGGAAATGAATATAGCTCTGCCAGCTTTTCTTAAAAATTAGTGTTAGCATGGTGTATCTTTCTCTCTCTTTAGCTTAAGTCTTTATTTTTAAAGTTGATTTCTCTCGAATAACCTAGAGTTGGGTCTTGGCGTGTGCTTAAAGCCCACTCTAACAGTTACGTTTTTTAATTAGCGTATTTAGAACATTGGCGTTTAAAGTGACTTTTTTATATATCTGCCAAGATATATCTGGACATGTATCTGCCAAGTTGGTAACTGTTTCCTACTTCCTACGTTTGTTTGTGGTTTCTTCCCCCGTTCTCTTTCTGCCTTTTCTAGTTTTTCTCCCGTTTCACATTTTGTTTTCTTATTAGAATTCTTTAGAGCATTTTTAGTTCACAAAACACTTTGAGCAGAATACATATACCTCCTTACCCCCACAGACATACTGTTCCCCCTATTATCAAGATCTTGCATTAGTATGATACTGTTGTTTAAAATTGATGAACCAGTGCTGAGATTCTTGTTTCTATTTTGTTCACTCCTGACTTTTCAGAGTTTACAATGATTCTCTATGACTATTTGATGAATTAATAGAGCATTGGACATTTTGTTGAATATTTTGTAGTTTCCTTTCTATAAAAATTTCAGGAAGTAGATGCTGATTCTCAGGCTGAAATAGTTGATCTGTGTGACTCTTCCATTTCCAGGTATATGCTTTGCAACACCATTATCTCATAGCATTAATTAATTCCTGTTGTAACCTTCTGTCAGTACTGTGCCAATTATGACAAGTTATAAAATAGGTTAAATATTTTGCTCCTGTTGTATGTCAGGCACTGTTTTCAGCCATGTATGGGTGTTAGAACATGAACATCTTAGGCTTGATTTAAGTAATTTTGGTACCAGTAGTTTTAATAAAGGAAATTATTTTCATTTAAAACTGAGATTTATGAATCAAGTTGTATTTATAAAGATAAGTTAGCTAAGTTTTTCCCTTAAATTTAACCTAATGTGAACTTTTTTCCAGATATTTTCTAAATTTGGCACAGTCTTAAAGATTATCACCTTTACAAAGAATAATCAGTTTCAAGCCTTGCTTCAGTATGCTGACCCATCAAATGCACATTATGCCAAAATGGTAATTATGATCTTTATTTCATTTTCCAATTGTTATTATAATCACTTCAGTGATACTAAAGAAAGTCATCATGTCTTCTCCTTTGCTGTAGTTTACCATGTTTTTTAAAAATTGTAATAAAATATACAAATTAATTTACCATTTTTAAACATACTGTTACATGTGCTCTTTTTATAGTCTAAAAGCTACTTCTCTCTTCATATGCAATGGCTTCAAATCACTTTCATTTCTTATATTTCTGGGACTCATTTCTGTTTGTCATATTTGAAGTCTAGAGTTGAGCAAAGTACTCCTGATATAATCTAACTAATAGAATAGAATTATCTTTGCCCTAGTGCCCTCATGTACTTCTATTAAGCGAGCCAAAGATTGATTGATTTCTATATTTTTGCAACCATATTCACTGTTGAATCTCATTGAGCTCTAAATTGATAGACATTAAATCTTAGGAAATATGCTGCTTTCAATTCATATTGTCTTCTATTTAGCACAGAAGTGCTTGACTTTGGACAAGATATAAAACTTCACATTCAGTTTGGTTATGTTTGATCCATCTCCTATTGAGATCTGTCCCTAACTCTATCTTGTGTCAGTATCTGAATCATTTCTAATTTTTTCCGAAGATAGAGACTAAGGTTGACAGCACTTTGTGTTTCACATAGTATCTAGCTCTTGACTAGGAATAACATTGATATTTGCTGTATCCTCCACCTGCATGTATTGTTCTGTACCTTTGTGATGGCATACTCATTAGTAACTATTATGATAAGGAAGCATTTTTTAGTATATTTGTTTTTTTGTTTCTGGTATCTATTTTTTGTAAATTCAAGTGTTTGTGTAAGTCATAAGTAGCTATTAATATCTCTCTGGACGATCTTTATCATTATGAAAGAAGAGATTGCTAATTTTTGGTCTTGTATCTGCTCTGACTTAAAACTTCCCTCAAGCTTGTTACTCAAAAGAAATAAATTTACAACAACAACAAAAAAAAAGTGGTTGATACTGTTCCATATATTGTGGTTCTGACAAGTACCATTTACAAACACTTTATATCATCTTAATATATATAAACTACACTAATATGAATTAAGATGAAATGTAAAATTTAAATACATTTAAACATTTTAAAATAATCATAATAATAATTAGTACAGTGTACAATAATGTATTATAGTTTTTCAAGTTTATACATTTCTCCTCTTCCATTTGATCTTACCATAGATAAAATAGAGATTATCACTTTACAGAAGAAAAAACTGAGAAATGGAGTTTTCATTTTCTCTCTTAGGCTCACATAGTTAGTGATAAAGGTAAAGGAAATACAATTCTTTGGCTTTTAGTTTAGTCCTCTCTGCTTTATGCCTGATTGCCACTTTTTGTCAAAGTAGAGGCTACTTGATTTATTGTTGTCTTGCAAAACATCAGTCCCTTTCTTACATGCTTTAGGCTCTGGATGGCCAGAATATCTATAATGCATGCTGCACTCTACGTATTGACTTCTCCAAGCTCACCAGCCTTAATGTGAAATATAATAATGACAAAAGCAGAGACTTCACTCGCTTAGACCTTCCCACTGGTGATGGCCAGCCATCCCTTGAACCCCCTATGGCTGCTGCTTTTGGTGAGTAGTTCTGTTTTGGGTCATAGAACAAGCTTTCTGAAGTTAAAAGTTTAATTTGTTAATCCATATATGTCAGCTGATTTCTTCTTGGATTCTCTCAGGATTTCTAAAGAAAAGGGAGACTCATGGAACAAAAATGTTCATTAACTGAATCTTAATATTAGTAGATTCTATTAGTTGTCAAAAACAAGTGGATACCTAAAATTGAATTTATTTTCTAACATTAATTAAAGAATACTGCTCATTCTTTATAAACCATACAACCATTTGTCTGAAATTAATAGTCTTATATATTACCATTGGTTTAAACAAGTTAATTTATAGCCAGCAAAATATTGACATAAGTGCTCTTGAGAGAAATACTTCTCCTTTTTAAAGTAGTGATATTTTAAAACAAGGGCCTAAATTGGTAGTATGTTCTATCTTTATTCAAGGAAGAGTATTTTTGTTTTTTTAACATCAGAACTTTTCATCATTACCCTGAGTTTGTGTGAAATTGCATTTTTGCACTAGTAAAAATAAAATTCTGCATTACTCATGCCAATGTTGCTTTGAAGAACTTTCTTCTTTTATTTAAGATCAGGTCTCAGTAATCTAAACTTTTGAAGTAAACCTTTATGTAAAAGGAAAAGTAGTGAATAGCCTAGTTGAATGTATCAATAGGTTAATGTACTTTTTGGCTTTGTGGCACTCAAATGTGGTTTATTATTTAGATAAGGTATTAAATTTTATTACCCTTCGTGATTGATTTTTCTTTCCCAGATGACACCATAAAATATTAATTGAGACTTTTAAGTGGTATTTAGTTTATCTTCATTTTACAGGTGAGAAAAAAGAATCCTTAGCCAAATAGTTGTCCAAATTTTCTAGAAAACAGTAAATTTAAAATAAAAGCTTTTTATTATTTATAACATGAACTGATTGTTCAGTTCATGTCCCTGAATTGTTAAAGTTTCTGTTTTAGTGTGACCAAGTTTTTGTGTTTTATACATTTGACATATCTATAGGTTTGGCATCTGTGGATTCAACTAACCACAGATCAAAAATACTTGGAGAAAAAAAAAGTTTCATAAAGTTCCTGAAAGCAAAACTTGAATTTGCCTTGTACCAGCAACTATTTACGTATCATTACATTGTTTTTACAACTATTTACGTAGCATTTACAACATATTAGGTATTATAAGCAATTTAGAGATGATTTCAAATATACAGGAGGATGTGCAGAGATTATATGCACATACTGTGCCATTTTATAAAGGGACTTAAAAAATCCTTGGATTTTGATGATATCTACAGGATTGGGGGCTGGGAGTGTCCTGGAACAAATCCCTTGTAGACACTGAAGGGAGCTGTATTTGTTATCAGCCTCTGCTCATATGTACAACTTGGCAGAGCCAAAGGTCTTTGTAATTAGCATTTTAATAACAAGGGATAGAAACTGGGGTTGTCATTCACATTTGCCAAAGCTTGGCTATCAAGTGCAGAACTGCGCATATTCCAATAATTGAATACATACTGTTTTGGTGTAATTAATGTTCTGCATTGTGGGAGGAGGACATTGAAAAAATATGATTAAGAATTTTGGTTTCTGAATATAAATTATCAAAATGTTGCTATCCTTTCTTATTTTGTTAATAAGTCCTTTGTCATTGCAAAGTGTATGTACATTCTAAGATAAGTAATTTATCAAACAGAGAACAATACCTTTGGGTGTTCACATATGAAAGTTTACTCTGCCTCTCACAAATATTTGACATGGTTCACTATTCCCTCCTTTTTTTTTCTCTTGGCTTCGAAAATGCTACACTTACAGGACTCTGTTCCTTACTTCATTAGCTGTTCTTCCTTTTAAAGATTACCCTTTCAGGTTCTTAGAGCTAAGTTGTAAGCATTCTGGGGTCTTCCTGATCTGTTTTAGAGATAATATTATATATTATCCCTATAGAAAAGCTTGTAAAAATATGTGAATACATTTTTTAAATAATTTTTAAATTTTTCATGTAATGTCTAACATTATTCTACTAATTTCATTTAGTTAGTTGGTTATGGCTATGCTGGGTCTTCATTGCTGTGTGGGTTCTAGTTGCAGCGAGCCTGGGTCTACTCTCTCGTTGCCGAGCATGAGCTCTGGGGCATATGGGCTTCAGTAGTTGTGACTCTTGGGCTCCAGAGCACAGACTCCATAGTTGTGTCCCATGGGCTTAGTTGCTCCGTGACATGTGGGACCTTGCTATATCAAAGATCCTCCTGCATTGACAGGCAGATTCTTTACCACTGAACCACCAAGGAAGCCCCTGAATACAGTGTTAAATATCCATGCTACCCAGATTAAGAAATAAAATGTAGACACATGCTGTAGAAGCGCCATTTGCACCCCTCTCATTTATTGTGTCCCCGTTCTCCCTGCTGCAGGTGTAACTGTAGTCTCAAAATTTCTATGGTAGTCCTGCTTTTGCTTTTTTGCTTTTCTCCTGTGGTTTGGTATTGGTTTTTTACTATTCATTATGCAGCCCTATGTACTAAAAATTTTTCTCCTACATTTAGAAGTTTATTTAAACGGAATCACAGTTTTTCTTTTTGATTCATCTATGTTCACATATGTGGCTCTTGCATATCCATTTTCAACACTGTCAAGTGTATAGATTTCCACTGTATGAATATATTGTAGTTGGTTTATCTATGCTACTATTGATAGACATATGGGTTATTTTAGTTTGAGGCTATTATGAACAGTGCTGCTTTGAAATTTTCCTAATTATCAGTGAGGTTGAACTTATGTTTGTTGGCCATTCTTTATGAATTTTCTGTTAATTCTTTTGCCTGTTTTTATATTTAGTTTCTTGTCATTTCTTGTTTATTTGTAGGAATTCTTTAATATCCTAGACACTAGTCTTTTTGTTGGTTTTACATGTTGCAAATAGTTTCTATCAGTTTTGGCTTATTAGTTCATTCTCTTTGTGGTATTTTTGTATGGCCAAATTTATTTGCCATATCCTTTATGTTTGTGTTTTTGTGCCATGTTTAAAAAATCCTTTATTACTTTGATATTATAAATATAAACACTTAGAATATTCTAAAGTTTATAGTATTTTAGTAACTTTTTATTGCAGTACTTCAAGTTGCAGGAATAGTTGAAAGAATCCCCTATATCCTTTAGATTCTCTGATTATTAACATCACACCACATTTACTTTATCGTCTGTGTGTGTATGTTTGTGGTATATTTTTCTTCCTCTGAGTCATTGGAAAATAAGTTGCAGGCATGATGTCCCTTCTAAATACTCATTGTATATTTTCTAAGAACAAGGACATTCTTACGTAAATATCAAAATCAGAAAATTAACATTCATACAATACCATTATCTAATCCATAGACCTTTTAAAAATGTTGCCAGTTGTGAAAATAATGTTCTTTATAAGAAAATGTTTTTCTAGTAGGGATCCAAACCAGTATCAGGCTAATTTATTTGTCATGTCTCGTGGAGGCCTTTAATTTTGAACATTTCCTCATTCTTTGTCTTTTATGACCTTTAAATTTTTGAAGAGTTCAGGGTTGAGTATTTAATAGAATGTATCCCAATGTGCGTGTCTGGGTTTTTGGCCGAAATAATGTGTCTTTCTCATTTCATTATATCATGAATGCTGCCAGTTTATCCTATTCCTGGTGATGTTAACTTTGATTACTTAAGGTTGTTTCTTACAGTTTTCTTATTGTTTTTCTCTTTGTAATTAAAAACACATTTTTGTAGGGATACTATGTTGAGACTATATAAACAGCCTATTTCTTAAAACTTTTCACCCTTTCGTTGTTGTTGGGTTTTTTTTAAAGATTTTTATTTGATGTGATCGATTTTTAAAGCTTTTATTGATTGTTACAATATTGCTTCTGTTTTATGCTTTGGATTTTTGGACACGAGACATGTGGGTTCTTAGCTCCCCAATCAGAAACTGAACTTGCATCGCTTGCATTGGAAAACAAAGTCTTAACTAACTACTGGACTGCCAGGGAAGTCCTTCACACTTTAGTTTTAATATCCATTGCCTAAAATAGTTGTCACTGTGATGGTTGTTGCTGTATTGGTGATTTGCTAATTTCACCTTTCCTCCTGATTTAGTAGCTGGAATTTTATTATAAAGGACTTTTTTTTTTTACCACTCCATTCATTCATTCATTTTTATTACATTTATGTGAATTTAAGGTTTATAATGTGGTACTTTATGTTTACATAGTGTAATATGATTCATGATATAAGTGATATTTATCCCATTACATAATTTTACTATTATTGTCTATATTGATTATACTGTGCATTAGCTCTGTATAACTTATTTACTATTCATTCTATTTATTTTTCCACATTAATATGGACTTGTAAATTCTTATGGGCAGTGATTTCACATTATTGTTTTTCATTTTATGTTCAAACTGTCCCAGATTTGGCCAGTGGGAGCCCTTCCATACAAGTTTCTGTGGCCTTTTGACATGTCCTCATCATTGTATGCGCACTTCATTACTTTCTGGCAGAAGATATGTCAAATCTTCTTTACTTTCCCTGCCTTAGCACTGCAGTCAGCCATTTCTCCAATGAGCCCCGGTTCCTTTTAGTGGAAAATAGTATTTGGAAATCAGTATTAAGGCATTATATATGCTCATTGATAATAGGGTATCTTTGCTTCTAGAAAGTTTTAAGTGGATGTGTATGTATACTTCATAAATATATTTCTCTGTGTGTATGTGTCTTTTTAAAAAACCACAGATTTTAACTGATACTTCCAATTTCTAATTTAGCACCCTTTTTTTCATATTGTGATTCCTTTTCTTCAGGAATGAGAAATCTAGTTTTCTGTTAGCCTCAACATATTTACCCATTTGCTCAATCCTATAATACACAAAAAGTTTCAGAATTGTTAACACATACCATTAACTAGAGGTTAATATTTGCATAAGTAGTTTTCTGGGCATTGCTCCAATGGTCTATTTATTCTTTTTGTCATTACCAC